TAATAAATTATTATCCACCTTTTCTTACAGAATGTCGTTGACGTTTGTTCTTCTCTTCCACCAGGTTCAATTCCCCGCGGGATGTCACCTCCCTCGCGCGTGCGCAGAGAGCGCATGGCTGAAAAAGAAGACCGAGAGAAAGCTCCCAAATCGGAAGCCAAACGAATTCGTCAGTTCCGGAGCAAGTACTGGAAGCTAGAACCTCGCGTTCGCTTCTTATCCTGGGCAGGAAAGAACATGGATCCCGTCAACATTGACTGGGTTTTACAGAAGCTTGGTTTCTCGCATGCGCAGTTGACCATCCCAAAGTGGGCGCAGCGGGGGGCCATGGATCCAATGGACGCGTTTTTGTCGCTGCTGGCTGATAGACTTTTTGCAGGAATGCAGGAAAGTTCGTCATACCTTGGTGACGAAGAGTAGATTAGCCGTGTTACCAGTTAAAATTACGTTATTTATCAAGTCTAATTCGATAGATATGTAAAGTTTCGGTCGTATTAACGCCAAATATTCTTTTTCTGTTAGATTGCTTTTTTCTTTCGTTTTTTATGTTAAGGACAAAATATAAGGGAGGCTAGGCGCAGATGTTTTTGAGTCGCGTTTGGCAGCCTCAGCGTTTGCTGCAGGTCTTTTGCATGGAGAGTTCGATTTAAAATGCCAGGACAAGGGCTTGACGGTTGATTGTTTGTTGTCAAAGTGCGTTACATTTGCAACCACCGTAAAAATTGCGCTGGTGGTTGTGGTAATCTTAGTATTGGTAAGCTTGATAAACAAAGATACATTTATTTATTCATTTGTTCTTTCTGATTGGAGTTATTTAGCACTTGTGAATATTTTTTTACTAATGATCGAAGAACTGTCCACTTCCATTTTCAGATTCTCTGTCCAGTGGAGTTATTCCAGTTTTTTCTTCTGAGTTGTTTTATATTGAATGAGCTGAATGTCAGTTTGCAAATATCGACATTTCAGACAATGACAGGCAAATGTGTCAAAACGCCGAAACTTAACGAGGGAAAAATATTTCAATACAATACTTTTCTACTTTCTTTAACAAAACGGACTGCCTTAAAGAAATTGAATGCTAGCATTGATCTTTGCAAAATCTTTTATGTAGGTACTTGAAAAAAATAAGCCATATTTCAGACGGCACAGTTTCATAGTTCAGAAATACGTGTAGATGTCTGACTACTATTTATAATTCAATTTTGAAGTTTTGCATGAAAGATGAAATGATTAATCGTCAATTTGGAAGGCTGTTCTTTGAGCTAGGTATTATAAAAATGTTTATTCCAACTTGAGACGAGTTGACAAATGAGGAGTGCTCTGATTTTGAAATATTTTGTATCGGTGCGAGGAGTAGTAAACTTTAGATGTTATTCAGATTTTTAGTAATGAGTGAGTTGTTGAAGATACCAGTGTATTTCGTTTTATTTTCAAGTTTAAATAAAGCGGGACCACTATGGAAAAAAATTTCTTTGCTTGGATGTTTCAAAGCGAACAAAAGGCCGCAGTGGCTTTCACTTGGGCTTCCAAAATTGAAATAGAGCGATAGCGTTGACCAAATGGCTCGATGTGTTTACCGTCTCTTACGACGCCGCACCTCAAGTTCAGCTAACGTATGTAAGCAGCGTCGAGTTCAAAATAGAAACTTAAATAATTCTCCGTCGTGGTTTCCGTTCGCAGACCACGCAAATGTTGGTTTCGGCTAAAAATTGTAAATAGTTTGTTTCGTCATATCCTCGTTGCTGTCCTAAATGTGACAGGGATCTTAAGCAAAACACGACGGTGACGGCAACGAGAACATGGAAAAACAAAAGATCTAATTGGCAGAAAAATAGCTCCGCTCGTGCGTTTTAAAACTGTGTACGTTTCTTAGCCGTCCTATGTAAAACAACAACGTGAAATCACAATTTGCGTCGTCTACGACTAATTTCCATTTGGAACTCAGCGCTTCTTTTATACGTCATGCGGAAGTTGAGGTGTGGGGAAGTTAGGGACGGTAAACACATGCAGCCATTTTTTAAATTCTAAGTAAAGGCAGAAATTCGTTTTTTTAATCGAAGTCTTCCTTGACGTTGCCGTCCTGACCGCTTGAGGTCCTTAATATAGTATCTGTTGTTGTTGTTTTTCTCCTGTTCTGCTTCTATTTGAGTGTGTTGTTAATGTGTTTTTCTTCGTTTTCGAAGCCATTATTTCGTGTCATTTAAGATTGTTAACTAAATTATAAAACTGAAATCTGCCTTTTTCTTTTGTTTTGCATTCAATGCGAGTTACAAAATATCTCCAGCGTAATCAAAATATTCTAACCTATTACAACACAAAAGACAGTTTTGCCGTCGCCGGGAGTGCAGTCCGCTATTGATTATCTTAGCTATCAACAAAATTTAAATTCACTGAGGACGTCTCGGCGGTTAAGATTTATTAATTGTTAAGTTGAATATTAATCAATAGATTACTGTTTAGTAAAGGTTATGCATAAGAAATCAACGAGTGATTTCTGTCGATTCTTATCGTCTCGTCGAAATGTTGACGTCTGTTTTGAAATCAAAGGCCGCACCGCTTTTGTGGTAGGTAAATGATAAATCAATATTGTTTCAGTGGCACATCAAATTAACTTGTTGTGTGTTGGATTCCTTCTGAGGCACAACATTATTACTCTAGATATACTGTTTAACTGATGCGTTAATTTGAGGGATTTAACAGTGGGTGTTAGGTGATTTACATGATTGCTGTCTGTAGGCTAGGGTTATGGGCACCAACTTACTTCTTCGTACTTAGGTCGTCACATATAATTCTTATCACTTTGTCGGGCATTGTAGTGCATTTTACGGGCTGAAAAAAAAACAAATTGGCGGGCTGGGATATATTTTAGCCCGCTCGCACGCTCGCGTAATAGTTCAGACTGTTTTCTTGTCATTTTGTTTTGTTCATATTTTCTTAAAGCCCTCCAAAGTGATGATGGTAATAATACAGTTTATACTCATGGGCGCAAATTTTAACACTCTGAGTCGGGACCAAAACATATTTCGCGAAACACGAACTCTATTGTTTTATTAGCACGATTATAAATGTATGTCAATAACTTTCCATCATTTAATAACCCCATGCCCTTTGAATTTTTTTTTGTTAATTCATAAATGGATGAAACCAAATACTGAGGGAAGTCGTTAGATTGGTTTCAAATATTGGCCAAGCATTTTTTAAGGCTTCCGGTAGTGATTCGATTATATCAATACATCAGACATTGTTAAATTTGTTTTTCAAGTTGAGCCTTTAATCTTAGCGGAATGACAAATACGCCTCATTAAAAACGTTCTCTCATTGGCTAGTGTTTGATTTAGTTTGATGCATTAATACTGCATATTCCATCAGGCGTGTTAACGTGAAGTGGCCTGTTCCCTTTCGATCAGAAGAGCGAGAACTGTTTCATAACCCAAGCGATCGAAACTGAGACTTTAAAAGGTAAAAACCTCTCCGTTTGAACTTAAGTGTGTTTGAACTTGTCTGTTGAAGTTGTGGATTAAATAATTATTTCGCGGAATGTTTGACTTCCAGGCAGCTAAATACGAGTTCCGTGTGATATTTTTTCCCCAGGATGGCAGACAAAGATGCTGTGTTCAATGATATCAGTAAGTTTGATGCTTCAAAACTAAAGAAGACTGAGACTAAAGAGAAGAATACTCTTCCGACCAAGGAAAGTAAGAGATGAATTTTTTTTTTTTCGTTTTACACACACAGAAGCTTTTTGCGATCTTGAAGTAAACCAACAAAGTGTGCAACGTCGCAAGTTTGTCAGCGCTGGAAGTAGTCAGGCGAATAAATCAATTCATGCCCCGTTAACAAAACAAAATGGGCTTCATTTTCAATCTTCTGAGTCAAGCTCACATCCACTAATTTGATTTACTTGAAGTCATGATGGTTTGATCTTAGCCGTTTATAAGGAAAGAAATTCGTAAATAACGTTGCAAACTAATTAAGTCAATTTTTTGAAAATTCTGTAAAAAAGATTCATCGAAGGCGGAAATACATGGAAACTGCCCGGAGCCAGTAGACCGCTAATTTGCTTTTTCTGTCTGTTTCTATACAAACAAGGTTTATTCATGGAAAAGAGGGTTAAAAGGCTATTTGTTTTACCGCTGAAACGAGATCATGTTTGGGCAGTTAAGACATTTATCGCCTAATATGGTGGGGAAAGTCGGAGAATTTTGTTTGTGTCACAATAAAAGTTACCTGATTACCTGATCCACCTATGGCTCTGTAGTATTCTAATGATCTCTCCGAATTAGCCGCTAATTTCTGTAGTCCCCCTTTATGATCTGCCAGCGAGGACTGATTCCCCTTAAGAGCGGAGAGTTTAAATCTCCCGTATTAAGTAATGATGTATCACTGCTCATTTTAGGCTAAAAATATCCCCCTCCCCTCCTCTCTCCGATTGATCGTCCTGCATACAAACCTCTGGAAGTGGAGAAGGAGGGAGTCATGAGCGTCAATTTTAATCCGAACATTCTTCACTGAACACGAAAGAATTAAAATTTTATTAACCGGCCTCCCCAACACTAAAGATTACAATGAAAGCCACTCAAGAAATAAAATTTCACTGCCTTGGCATTCCGTAACGAGAGAGCTCGATGAATAAAGGTCTGCTATCTGTACCGCTCTTAAGAGAAAAGTAGAAATTAAAAATGACTATTAATTACGTGGTTCGTGAAGTCCCTGGAAGCGAGGTTAAGCTTGTGTCTATCGGTGTCTATCTTGTCATGTAACAATTCCCATGTAACACAATCTATTTTGGGAAGTAGCGTTACATAATGACTAAGACCACCTGAGAAGCTCAAACAGCACTTTAACCCTTTAAACCCCCAGAGTGACCAGCATTTCATTTTTCCTCACAGTAATACTGTTGAGTCATTCATTAATATCACGTGAGTAAAGGATATGATGGCCAACCTTAGAAGCTATGATTGTTAAACTAATTCTCATCTGCTCATGGTCAGTACCAAAGGAAATGTATAAAGGAGGCTATGGGTACTGATGTTAATAACAATTCATTTTCTCTGTGTTTGACTTAGCTATCGACCAGGAGAAGAAAGCCTGAACTGGTGCCACAACCGTGAGCCCGCGAGGTCTGGATAGCGAACCAAATTTTTGTTTTTTTATGTATTTTTCGGTTTACGTTGCTTAAAGCACTTGACCTTGGCTGATAATTCTAGTTAGGTAACCCGAAATGTAGATCTAACGTAAGCTAAGAATGTAAAATATTGAGATGTTATTTCTTACGAATTCCTTTGTAGTGTTGAAATAAATGTAACGATCTTTGCATGGAAACCTAGTGTGTTGTGACTTTTTGAACCAAAGGCCTTTTCGGTATCGAAAAGAGGCTTATCAAAAACGCCAACTCAAACGGCGAATTTACGTTTGGACGTCTCTGTCGAAAGAGTACGTATACCATACTCTAAATCGGCAGCAAGGTTGGTTTTGGGCGCCTCAAGTTATAAATGTAAAATGTGCGTATATGATTCAGTCACACTTACCCCGTACCTCCTCCTCCGTCATAATGTATTAAACAAAGAGGCTCCAGAGATTTTACTGTATCAAGTAAAAAAACAATTCTAAAGGAAACTTGTTGCGTATTTTAAACACTAATCGTAGGTTTACAAGAAATTCTTGGACAAAATTCGAGAAACACAATTTTTAGGAGCATAAGCCATGAGATTTTTTTGGTCAGCGTAGCAAAGTAAAGAACTAACTCGCACATGGACAAACTCTATGCTAGTAAACATCTGCTGAAAGTGTATATACAAAAGGGATTACCAAGCTTAACTAAGGAGCATTTGCCATTGTAAACCGTCGCTATGGTAACCTGATCGGTCGGAAGTTCGGAAGTATTCATGCTTAGAACAAATGAACAAAGTGGTTGTCAAACCAACAGTACTGCAAACTATTGAAATCGCCATCATGAGATCCAAGAAATAAGACATAAAAAATATTTCTTTCTTTCTTTGTCGTTTTGGCTTCCTTTATCGTTTTGACTTAGCTAAATTTGAATTATCGACATTCTAATCGGCGTTTACTTATGTTCAAGCAATCAATTGGGATCGATAAAAATTTCGAGAGCAAACAGTCAAGGGAGCAGTCATTATTATCACCAGGAGAGGGCGAGAGAGGGCGGGGAGACAGCAGGAGTCTTTGGAGGATCAGATAGTTTTTAGGGAAACAAAGCGTTATGGGATTTTCAGATACATTTTATCGTGACATAACCAAAATCATCAGACTTCCCATCCACCCGGCGATAAATGATGGCTGGTCACCTATTCGCCTTTAATTACAAAATAACTACAGAACTGACCCTGTTCGACGTTCTCCTGTTTTTCCTTCCTCCCTGATGCTGATTACTAGATGTTCCCATTCTATGCCTGATGCTATCCTAAAGAAAGAAGAACATATATGCTATTGTGCTTAAATGCACACCTATCTTTTATTAAGTAATTTTCTAATGAGTGATATCAATTTCCATTACATCGGATGTTGACAATTTTAATCAGTTTCCCTACGTAGGCAACAGGAGTTTTTAAATGACTTAGAAACGTTCCTCAGCCACTGAGCGCTGTTTTACCTTAAAAATTACGTCGGTTTTCGACGTACTAAACCGTTACTATAATAATTTGATACGACACAGGGATGCGAGTTCTTAATAGCAGAACAAATAAATAGATATTTCGTTAGTAACAGTATTTCAATTTTATTAGAAATTGTTGTAGTAGAGTGACTTTATAAACACAATAGTGCTATAATCCACGACAAGTCATCTTATTCACGCAAAAATAAAAAAGAAAGTCGGAGACGGTCCGGTGGAAACACTAATTTCAATTATTTCATATTTTCTTTTGGTAGTTTCCTTCATTTTTACTTTGGTTGGCTCTGAATTGAAAAAAAAAATAGAATCAGGTTAGGTGTGTGACTAACGATATTTGTTGCCTGAAGGCAGATAAAAAGATTTTGAAAATCCTTAGTAAAAAAGCAACGAGTCTTATACGGTGAGCTAACGTAGCAATTTCTATAAACATAATACGGCAAGTAGAAAACGATATTTGCTCATCAATAACACATAGTTCAGGAGACTGGCCAGAAATTTCGGTGTTTCACTTAACTCGAGATAATGGGAAGTTTTTAATATCATGCACGGTCGGCTGTGTGGAAGATGAGAGCAAAACCTCTGGAATCCAGATAATACAGTTTTTTAGTTAAAATGCCGTAAAGACCTACTTTTCTTTCTTTGGCTGTGGTCGGGGATAATAACAAGCGTGTTAACCTTTTAACTCCCAAGATGATCAGGTTGTTAAATCTCCCCTCTGGCCACTACAAATTTCTTTGTGCATTGGTTAGGAGAAATTAGTTTTAGATCAAGGTAACAGCTTCTAGCTGATGAGTTTGAGTTTTCTTATTACCTGTTTTCTGGATTACATATGGATATTGTGGGGAGAACACATGTTAATCACTTCTGGGAGATGAAGAACTAATATGAAATTACTACAAGCATGGATAACTGTGTGAGGTGTAGAGAAATTCAAGAAATAAAATACAAATAAAAATAATCAAATGGACGATCAAGACCCTAACTAGAAAATCACGAATTTGGTGGATGAAGCTACCCCAAGAGTCACTTGGTGCAATGATAAGTTATCATGGCGGCTTGCACTAAGGAATCGTTCCACACTGCACTGTGTGTGTTACATGAAATTCCTTTATACATTTAACTCTGCGATTTAATTTTCAAAACCGACCACGAGAATCTGACTCAACCCCTGTGTTTCTGTTAAAATTCAGTCAAAGTTAAGTTAGTTACCTTGAGAACACGTGAAAGATCGGTGCGTACATCAATCCTCTGAATTTGAACCACTCCGGTCAAACATCAAGTTGGAGGAATCAGAGAAACAAGCTAACCTTAGCTTTCACGAGCAGACGATATTTGATGTAATTGATACCAGGGTTGAAAATACGTGTTTCTTGGTCCCCTGAGTTGCTGAAAAAAACGCTGAAATTTCCAGTAGTTTTATCAGCTCTTTCCACTTGCAACGAAGACTGTGATCGCAAATGTGAATATTTAATTTTTAAAGTTATTTGAAATTCAAATGAATTTTGCAAGGTTCGAAAGGCAGACCGATAAACATTCAAAAGCTCTGCGATCACTTTCGTTTGAAAACGAAAAATAGTTTTTTCATCTTTGTATTTATGACGATTTAATGACCTGAGATAAGGGAAAAAAACTGAGTAAAATATGATATAATCAGTTCAGTTTTTTCCATATTTTTGCCCCCTCAGGCTGTTTGAGATATCCTTCAACTGAATCGCTCTAGACCTCGATGGTTGGCTTCCTATTTCTTAACAATCAGGGATTTTTTTTAACTTGTCAATTCAGTTCACCGACCCTGCTCAGCGTATCAAGCCACGCAGACGGCAGCGAATTTAGACAATTAATTGCTTATTCGTACTGAATTTAATCGCTGAGTAATGTCTTTCCCAGAGTCCTCCGCTTCCCCTGACATTCTTAAAATAAAATTTAAAAACATGGCGGCTCCAGTTTAATTCGCTTCATTTCTGGTAATAAGAGAAAAATTAAGTCGTCAAAGTAGAGCTGGTAGGGTCATATAATCAGTCTCGTCCGACGCACCATAAAACATAAGCGAGCGAAGTGAAAAATTGGCTCAGGTTGATTGCCCTTTCTACTTAATGACAACTAAGGGATTTTTGCCAAGGCAAAGATTAGGTTCATCCTGTGGGCTGACATGTGGATTGATTTAAAGCCAAGTTTGGAAATATTTAGACAGTGCAGGTGTTTGCTTCTTAGGGATAAAGCGAAACGAAAGTTAGAGAGGAAAAATCAAACCCACAATTTTCCGTCCCAGCCACACAGATACGGCTTCGCCATTCAACCTCTCAAAGCGCATCAATAAAATAGCCTGCTATGCATATAAGAGACATGGTTTATTCCTAATCCACACCACAGGAAACTAGTAGCACAAAATATACCTTGACTAAAACAACCTGTTTACATCGCTCGATTCATTGGCCAGCATCCAAAAACTACCATGAAATTTACATTAATAATGCATGTATAATCAGAAGGCAAACTCTCTCATCGAAGAGACAGTGCGAGAATTTAGCAATAATAGTAGCCAACGAAACCAAAAGATACATCTTCTGAGGCAAAGGATCTAGGTATTTTTAGAGTTGAAAACAATAACAATAACCCGTGCCGATCACGAGGAAATCACACGGATGAATCGTCACGAGGTCACCGAAGTCACGAGTTAGGCTGGGAAACAGACAAATACACGAAAGACGTCACAGTACCTACTACTTCAGATGCAAGGGATAAGCGACTAACGATCATGGCTGCATTTGAAGATTTTTGTAGGATTACACTCCTTTTTCTAGTCGTTATTTCTGCAAGTGATGCCTTCCGTCTTCGAGCTAATTTTCCTCGACCGCAAGGGAAGGATTTTGGACTTCACGCGAAGAGACATTTGTGTCCGTTTTGCATCTACGAGACGAAAACGTTTAGCCAGAAGGTAAAAGATCTTCAGCTTCATAACTGTTTTACAATTGGTTAAATTTCGGTAAACAGGTCTTAAAATTCAACCGTAGGAGCAAAAATTACATAATTGGCCTAGTAACATTCTTGCCAAATATTGCAGATCATCGGCATTTATGAAATTTATCATTCATCACTTCGTATGATTCTTTAATCGAAGGTCAATTTGATTTAGTTTTTTTTTTTTTTTTTTCATTTGTAACATCAATCTGATTTACCGTGAATTTTCGTGAATTCGAGGGCTAATTTTCAGATTAACACCTAATGTCAAGAAAAGTTATTGTTTGACAAGCAGGTCACGTTTATATCACGTCCCATCTCTAAAGCATGAAAACAAGCTGCCGTTCGAGACCGGACTCCAGAGAAGAGAATTTTCCCCGTATTTTCCCGAGTTTAATTCGTCGTCTCCTAGCTTACCCAACTTTTGTCACGCTTTTCAAAATTCGGATTTGTCACGTATAAGTGGTGCGTGACGTTCAATGTCTTAAAAATAACACAATCAAATCCTTGCCGGGTGCGAAGGAAACTTAGTGATGATCTTAACATAGAAACAGTTTTACCTTTATCAACATCAACAATTTCCCTTTTTTTTATTTTACAGCTGGATCATTTTGGCTTCAGTGACAATCGCACTTTTCCACAGCGTTACCTTGTGGCCAGAAAGAACTGGGTAGAAGGAGGACCAATTCTCTTTTATACCGGAAATGAAGGAGACATCACCTGGTTTGCAAACAACACGGTGAGTATTGGTTACTGACCTTCTTACAGTTTAATGTTAAAATCATCAAAACCATCAATATTACCAACTAAGTTGATCTTAAAGATTAGGCCTTGAACTCTCAATCAGCGAGAAGAGGATCACGTTTGTAAACGTACCCCTATTACCCAAGAAACAAGAAAGTCAGATGTGGTCCAAAAATTAGACAAGCATGTTAGCCACACATTTTCGCGAGCGCTCTCTGTCAATCTGCGTGTAGAAGCGGACGAGAGGGAATTGGGGCGAACAAGGGATGAGTTGACGGCCTCTCCCCTTGAACCCTCTTCTTTTTTATCACTCAAAGTGGCTCCTATCCAATACTGAGATTTCTACTGAGTCCGGAGCGCGAGTCACGCGTGTTCTGCTCATTAGTCCGAAACTGACAAAATTCTTTGTCTCCATCCATTGTAACGAAAACTTTATGACAAAGTAGCCGTTGTGATTATCATCAAAGAAAGGCGGCATTTAACCCTTCACACCCTAACATCAGTATACATATTCTCTACACTTTTTTCCATACATTTGCTATGGAACTGACAAAGAGAATTTGTTTAACAATCAAGAGCGTCTTTAGTTGGTGATCATTTCCTTTATTCTCATGACCTCAATGTTTGTTTTAGGGGCCATACTGATAGGAGAAAATAGTTACTAATCACTCTTAGGGGTTTAAGGGTTAATCATAACGTAATTTGAAGGTTATTGTTCATGTGAGCTAAGAGTGCAACACTTGTCTTGTACCCAGGGATTCATGTGGGACATCGCTGGGGAATTTAAAGCCATGCTAGTTTTTGCAGAGCATAGGTACTACGGCAAGTCGTTACCATTTGGAAAGCTGTCTTACAAGGTGTGTTTAATTAAGTGGCAAAAGTTATGAATGATTTAAATGGTCTGCCCTGTTGTGCCTTGTGATTAGTCAAGAAATCTTGCGCTTCCTCCTCGACCAATCACATGCAAACTAAAGGTGGCTTGATAGCGTGCGCGCGCTTTCCCTTGCTTAAGGGGGTCAGATGTGTTTATGTTGGGTTTTTATTGGCTACCTCCTTCCCTTTGTTCTAACCAGTTCGTTAGGTTCCTTAAGGTCTTATTCTACATCACTCAATCAACAAGGAGCGATCTGTGTTGTTTTACGTTACTCATTTTGATGATATATATGAAAAGAAGAATTTTTTTTCCCTTCGATTGTCGTTGACTGTGAGTTGGAACAAGCAAATACGAGAGGGATCTTTTGATATGCGAATTTATGAACACACTGAGAGGAAGTTTTTTGGGACTAAGTGCCTCAAAACTGTTCTTTTCGGTTGAGTCTAGGTCATAAGTCCTACTAACATTGAATTGTTCTTATTTAGGGACCGAAGTATTTAGGATATTTAACTTCAGAGCAAGCTTTGGCTGACTTTGCAGTACTTATTCATCACATAAAGGCAAGATAATATGGG